TTTTTTTTTTTTTTTTTTTTTTTTCTGGCAGAGTCTGGCTGTGTAGTTTGGGCTGGGTTAAATTCACTGTGTGGTTGAGGGTGGCCTCCAACACACGGCAATCCTCCTGCCTCCGCCTGCTGACTGCTAGGATCACAGGTATGTGCCATCTCGCCCGGCCTTGACATAAGCTTTGACTCTGCCCACTTCTGTTTGAGAAAATAATAAATTCTGGGCGCATTGGCTCTAATTACCAGGCCTTTAATATTCTTTGTTATTTTCCTGGGAGACCCAAGCTATCCTCACACAGTAGAGCCACCCAGGTTTTCTGATGTCTGAAAAAATGCACATTTGCATGAAAGGTACAATAGGAAAAGTCGGGGAGGAGTGCGTGCTGGCAAATGAGGTTAAAAAGCAAGCAAACCAGGGGTGCATAGTGAACATATTCTGAAACCATCAGCCTAAGAAGCCAAGGGACTTCCTCCATCTGCTCTGCCCCATAATGGGTAGCACAGTGTCCAGCAAGGCGCCCCCTACTGGTGCACAGGGCAGGAAAGGGAGCGCAAGACTGCCTGGGAGCTCAGGGCTGGGCCTGTGAAATTTAAAACTGGTCTCATCCCACTGATTTCTGTCTCCAGACCGCTGTGGATGGGACCCCAGCACCTGCCACCCCAGGCCACCCGTGTCCCCTGTGATGCTTCGTCCTCATCCCCTGTGGTGGCTGGGGTGGCTTCAGGCCGCAAGTGTCCCCAGGGAGCGTGAAGGCCACGGCAGCGTGGTCTTCCTTCCTCCCCCTGTGCTGTGCTGGTCTTGGTGCGCTGTGTGAGCCAGGGTTGTGGTGTTGAGGCCAAGGGATTCCTCATCCCATCGCTCTCCCAAACCCTGGCAGCCTAACACGGAGCGAGTGATTGTGTGCTGGGAGTGGGAAGGGGTAAGATGTTTGGCCCTAAGTTGCTGCATATGATCCCGGGGCCAGGCCCTCCAAGGGGAAGCCTAGAGCCAGCCAGAATCCTGCCGGCCCTGACCACAGGCCAGTGACTGGAGATGAGCACCTGGGCCCTCTGTGGTGTCAGGTGCAGGCTTGTGGGATGGATTATTCTTCCCAGGTTCCTCCCCAGTTTCCTCCAGACAATCGGCCAGCTGTGGGTTTGGGACAAAGCAGGACCAAGGTCACTGTCTAGTGCTGAAGAGAAAACCAGCAGCCTGTTTAGAATTTCTGGAAGGACAGACACAAACAAAGCAGACACTAGAGGAGGGGCACGGAAGAGATGTGTACAACCTCCCTTCCTGAGCACGCGCTGGTGCCAGAGCGCAGCTCTTGGAACCGTGGATATCACCCCTGTGTCCCTGAGTCCCAGCACCTTGCCTGGCACAACAGTAAGTAATACAAAAAATGTGTCCATTGGAGGAGCAAATGTCCAATTCTGTCTGTGGTTACTGTTGTAATTGTTCAGCCTCCTGAGAACATGGGCTGGAGAGCAAAGGAATCCGTGGATGACAGGAATGTGCTAAGACCTGGAGCTAAGCATTGAATAAAGTGAGATTTTTATGCAAGATCCACTGCTAAGTGGATCAGAGGAACCGAAAAGGGAGACACTGTGGCCAGAGAAGCAAGGTGGAGGGTACAGTTCCAGCGTCCCAATGAATAAATAATGTATTGTCTTACTGTACATGAGGCAGTGGTTTAGGCCCGAGTTCTGAAGAGACTGAGGCTGATTTCAAATGTCATCATTCGAAGTGGGTATAATTGTAGCAGATATCTCTGCCCAGCATTAGCAGGCTCTCAGTGGCGCAAGCTTCTTGCCCCTCCACAAGTCAGCAGTGCTACATTAGAGATGGCAGGGCCTTGCTGAGTTCACTTTCAGCCAAGGTCAACGTGACTTCAAGTGAATCCTTCCCCTGAGTTAACTGTTTGTTCTCTTCAGCAAAGGTGGTGCTCCCATTCCACAGGGCTGCCAGCTTCCTATTTGTTATAAGCAGGTGTCTGGAGGCCTGCCCAGCTCCGCTCTTATGCACGCTTGCCGTGACTGAACGCTGCATGTCCTTGGTGCCTTTGTCTTTGCTGCCCAGAGCAACGCAGATCAGCCCGAGACCCAGCTTCTTCCACGTCTGTGTCTCCGTGTCCTTTGTTCTCTCCGTCTCTCATACCTCGGGGCTGGGGCTTCAGTAATGCATCCTACATGTAATCAATTAAAATGAAATACGTGCTCATGTATCAAACACTTTTCTGCTGTTTTGCTAGATCAAGCTGCATGGCTGTCACATGGATGGTAGCGACAGGAAGGTATCAGGACACAGATCCAGTCTCTCTCCTCCCTTCGAGTCCTCACAAAGGGAGCTCTCCTGCTGAAAATCGGGCACAAGGAACTTGGGGCCCAGCTGAATACTTCACAAGGTCCTTTTTTCCATCTGAGTGTGAGAAGGATAGACTGGTACTCTCCTCTGAGGAGAGAGGAACAGCAGATTTAACTTCTATTCACCCAGCAGCAGAGGGAACAACTATGCCATGCATAACTGGTTGGACCTTGGATTCCCTGCAGGGGAGAGAGACAAACCCAGTAAGACCTGGACTTTCATCCTGCCTGGGGGTCTTGTGGCCTGAAGCAGTGCTCCTTGGCTCTGCTCCTCCAGACTTTGCCCCGGTGTGCAAAGCATAGCAGGGGCTGTCCACCCCAGCTTCTGTCGTGTACAACCCAAGTGTGACAGTCCCCTCTGCTGGAAGCCCCTACTTCAGTACTCTGTTTACTCACGACATTCGGGAGCGGGAGCAGGCCCAGACTGGCTGAAGACCCCAAATTTTATAACTCTGCTCACGTTATTTTCCCGCTTGTGCCCATCCCTGGGAGCCTGTCCGACTCAGTTTGTGTGTGTGTCCGCGTGTTGCCACCCAGGTACACTTACTGGGCTTGGAGAATCACAGATACGGACGGTGACTGTGGAGATGAGGGGACAGAGCGGGGAGGGATGGAGGGTGAGGCGCTGAGGATGTGTGAAGGCCTGGGTAGGGGTGGGGGAGGCGGGCAGAAGAGAGAGGAGGGCTGGGAGCGGAGCACGGAGGGCGGGCGCAGGGCTGCAGATGGCGGAGTTGAGGACGCGGAGCGAGGACTTCGGCGGTGTACACTCTGTGCCCCTCGTGCTTCCACCTGTCCATAGCCTGCAGGAGATGCTCACTGCGCACTTTTGTGCTTTTCCATTTTTTTCTTTCCTGCCTTCTCCCTCTCCCTCTCCCGTCCCCCTCCCTCTCTGTGTTTCTTTCTGTCTCTCTCTGTCTCGGTGTCTGTCTTTATCTGTCTCTCGATCTCTCTCCATGGTGCCTGGTAAACAGAGGATTGAGCGGTGTCACAGCTGTCCTCTCTGTCTTTCTTGATCTTTAGGTGATGTCCCCCGAGCGTGGACGATCTAGTCAGCTCTGCGGCCTCAGTTCTCCCTTGAAGACCCAGGCTCCCTCCCTCAGGAAGGACCAGAGCTCCCTGGTGCTGGGAGGGAAGCTCCCACTCTGAAGGTGGCAGTACGTATGTATGGGGACGGGGAAGACAGGTTCCCCTTAGAGTTCCTCAAGTGTTGCCCACAGGGGACACCCTGTCCTGCTCACAGGCAGTTGGCAGATGACACAGTCTGAGCTGTCCCTGCACGGTCCGGTGCCCATGATGGCCATGGGTGGGACGAGGAAAGCCAGGTGAGGGTGAGGGGCGGACTTGTCACCAGCTTTGGCAGACATGTGCCTGTGCACATGTGCTGGGGTATGTGTGTGCCTGTGTGCACACGCGTGTGCATCTGACTTCTGTCTGCAGTGTGTGTGTGGGTGTCCATGTCACAAGAGGCCTGACGTTTCTGTGTGACTCAGTCCGGTGCAGAAGCTGCTGAAGTGGATCGGGTGAGCTGTGTCCCTGTCCCCTGGGTCTGGGCGCAGCCGTGGGTTTCCTCTTTGTACCCACGTGATCTCTTCCATGTAGACTTAGACAGCTGTGCCCAGATGGGCTGGGCTCGGGCTGCAGGTCCCCATCGTTCTCCTGTCTTGGGTCCAAGCACAGAAGCTCTGGGCTCTCACCTGAGCCCACTCCAGCCTGCACCTCGGTGCCTCCCTGCTCCCTCAGAGGCCTCACTTGTCATGGAGATGGTATCTCCTTCTCCCAGGTGCTGGATTTCATCCTTGACAGTTGAAAGCTTTGCGGCAAGCTTTCCTCCCTGCCCCCAGAGGGAAGGGCTGAGAGGGTGGAAGTGACTGGTGCAGAAAAGGCAATGTGGGCAGGGATGCCAGGTGGGGTCTCCACCTTCCTGCCCCTTGTGAGTCACTGTCTCCCTGCCTTGAGGCGGCTGCCAGGTCTCTCTAGCAGTGCCCCTTTGTGGCACCAAGACAGGCTGGCACGCAGGTGGGCACTGGGTGCACGCTGCTCCCTCCCTCTGGCTGCGTCTTGCCGTCCCGGGCCTGCGGGCTGCGTGTGGGGCCTGTCCCAGCCTCAGCCTGGCTCCTCTCGGGCTCAGGCCCTCAGCTGACCTGCAAGTCCTGGGCCAGGCTCCCGCTCTGCAGTATCTTGGGTGTGTGGGATGCAGGGTACTCGCCCTGAGCCTGGGCAACAACACGGATGTCCTGCCTTCCCTGACTGGTGTCCCCTGGACCCCAACCTGAGTAGTGAATTCAGGGAGCAGATTTCCCGCATTAGACCCAAGGGAGCCAAGAGAGACCAGGTTCCCTGGAATATGACTTAGAAAAGAAGACGGGAAGCCGAGTTGCCTTCTTACCCCGGCTGCAGCTGTATGCGTTGCCCTGTGGGGGAGGTAGAGACACAAGGTGGCTCCGGCCTTAGGCACGAAACCCAGGACCAAGCCTGTCACGAGAGCCCAGTGCTGGCAGAGTCTCAGGCCTCTGGCTCTATGCCGGTGCTTGCAGGCTGACCTCCTGGTTCTGCAGTGGCCAGGCTGCCAGGGGCCTGACTCCACAACCTCAGGTAGCGTAGTCAGGAGCAAGGCTGAGCTGCTGGGGTAGGGCAAGAGAGTGAGCACAGGAATTTGCCTTACAGCACACTGCGGGACCCACTGCAGTGACCGGACACTCGCCAGAACCCAAAGTCCCTTTCCCCAGAGCAGTGCACACAGACAGAGCCTCCAGGCCAGCCCAGCCCTAGGCAGACACATGCTCAGCAGCAGGACAGATTCAACTCCCCTCCTGCTGCAGGGACCCCCTTTTCTGCAGGTCCCTGTGGCTGTGAGTCAGGTGACAAACAGCTTCACATCAGCCTAGGAAGCCAAGGGACTTCCTCCGCCTGCTCTCCCCACCCATGGGTGGCACAATGTAGAGCAAGGCGCCCCTCATTGGGACACAGGACAGGAAAGGGAGCTCAGTACTATGACCGCCGTGTGGCCATTGTGATCAAAAGTGTAACTCTCTGACCATGCCTTAAACCCCCACACCACACGTGCCCACACCACCATCAGACCTGTTGAGAGTCCAGTCCTAAGGGGGTCCCTTCTTCTGTGTTTCAAAGCTGCCAGTTGTTGCCTAGGAGTGGCTTGGCCCAGCAGTGTTATTAGGTGGGGAACTCCGTGGATAGACTGTAACCCATGTGGGCCCGGATCCACATCTCCTCCCTACAGAGCATGTTGTGACCTCTTACCCAGCATGTGGGGCTAACCAGGAATCCCTAGGAGCTCCAGAATGCACCTGTAGGGTCTTCCTAGGAACCTGTGGCTCCACCTCAGCTCCAGGATGGTAGCTGGCATGGAATGAGCCCCCAGTAAGGTGCCATCATGACTCTGGCTGACTCTCACTCATGTTAGGCACAGGGTGAATCCAGGAATCTGGGCTCCTAGGGTTCCTGGCCGGTGCTCCTGTCTGTGTCAGCTCTTGCCAATTCACGTTCCTCCTGCAATGCTGCCTGTGGTCTACACCACCCAAGGTAATGGTGGTGACAGAAAAGTTTTCTCCTCCATACTCCTCACTGCTGGCTGCTCTACACCCTCACTGTCTCTGGAACAGCATGTCAGGAGGTCCTCTGAGTCAGACACCTCACCACCTCTGTGGGCTCTCGACAGCTTTGCTCTGACCTCTGACTGATGCATTGGCACCTGGGCATCCTGCGGTAGCCTTGAGCTCTGATCCTTAGGCAGTGGATCTGAACTCTGCACTGCCCTTCTCACTCTGCCTATAGGTCCACTACCTTTCCTCTCTGCTGGTGGCCACCTATGAAAGGGGAGGACGCGCAACATCGGAAGGGATTACAGCCACTCAGAAGTCAGTATTGTGAGCGTTGCGGTTCACTGAGTATGTGGTAACATACCACGTGGTAAATTTAACACAATTAGGAAATAAACTCAGTGTTCATATTTCATGTGTGGGCAAGACTTGTGTTTTTAGTCATTTTAAGAAACTTTGACAAAGTCACTGGAGGCCAGAATGCGTACTGGGCACGATGATGCATTGTCACGAGTACTGATGTAGCCAGCATTAAAGGAAGGCCACAGAAAGACGAGATCTATATTGAACACCATGGTGAATTTGAGGACTTCAAGGCTGACCAAGGAAGGAAAAGATCTGCCACAAGGTGGCAGCACTGTTCTAGTTTTATTGGGCAGCGCTTGCACAGGGTTATATATAAAAGGGGAGTCATTCGTGGTGGGGTCGGCCTGCAAATCCAGAGGCAGGAGGATCACAAGTTTGAGCCAAGCCCAGGCAACTTAGTCACTTACCAAGTTCCTGTCTCAAAATAAAAAATAGAAAGGGTCGAGGGTGTAGCTCAGTGCAAAGAGAACTCCTAGGAGGTAGGAGAATTAGAGGACATTTAAAGGTCAAGGTGAAGTTGGTCAACAGCAAGGTGGGCGTTTTGGGGTCAGAGTTTATCCCACAGGGTTTGTCTTATCTATGACCAGGAGATGATGGGGGCAGTGCAGTTACATGGTCATGCAAAGCAGGTGGGCTCTAACTTGTTTAACACATGCTCGTTTGAGTTATATTTAAATCAAGTAGATGTGTGAGAATTTGTTAAATGTGTAAAAAAATGTATTTACATGTGTGTATCTTTACAACATGATAATGGTTAAGGTAAACCAAGGCATGACCAAGACTACCAGAGAAGGCAAAAATGAAGCAACAAGCGAGGTTTTATTTCCAGCCCGGTGCAGGTTAGTCAAGGCCACCAAAGCCTGAGGGCTGGGGAGAGGGGAAACTTCAAATTCACTTACACTCAAATTGCTTCATTTTAACATTAGGGACATTAACGCTTTGCAAAAACTAAACCACTGTTCTGAAATGAATATGCTAGCCACCGTGGCACAGACTCTTTTGATTTGGCCTCAGAATACCTACCCAACCCCATATTTTGTGGTGAGCAGGGGGTGAGACCTCAATACTTGCTCTCATATCGAAAGATCTTTTGGAGTAATCAGTAAAGTTCCCATAGGGTCCAACCACCTAGGACTGGAGATAAAAATTACCGTGAGTGGATGGCTGGGGTCACACAGGACCAAAGGTGCTGGGGAAATTCTGGCCTTGATGGTGCGTGTTTGAGCAGTGGGTGCCCTATGGACTGGGCATCGTGGCAGGGCTGAGTTTCTAGGGGCAGCACATGAGCATGAGCGTGGGCCTTGAGCCTTGTGGGACATCACAGTGGCCACAGGAGTGAGATGAGTGGCCTGGTGAGGCAGGACACTCTGAGTTAGGGTAGGAAGCATGTGCTCAGGCCCTTCCGCCCTCTTCCTCAGTGCCCCTCCAGGCCAGAGTCAGCCACTTTGAACTCCAAGGGGCTTCTGGGTGTACAGGAAGATCGCCAAGTGAGACCCTGACTTTCCTTCAACCAGCTAGCCTTTCCCGGGCTCTCTTTCCTGAGCAAGCCAGCCCTCAAAACAATCCTGGGAAACATGAGCCCCTTCCTAATAAAGTCAGCCCTGTTCAGATGTGCTAGGTGTCAGATTCCTCATCTATGCTTGTGCGCCCGCAGGGAAGCACACTGGGGATTTAAGCCAGAGCTCTAGCGCGAAGCTACATCCCGTCTGCTCCGCTTTTCCTAAAATTTTGAGCCAGGGTCTTGTTAAATCGCTATTTGCCCAGATAGGGCCCCAATTGGGGTTACTCTTCCCTCAGGCTCCCAGAGCTCGGAAAACAGGTGCAGACCACCATGCGCGGCTCTCTAACACTTTGAAAGTGGGGACACGCAAGCACAAACAAGAACAGCTGAACTGGGTCTCCGACCTCTTAGAGTAGAAACAGGCTAGGCCACCAAAGGGAGAATGAACCTAGATGCTGATTGGTACCCTCAGGCCCCACCTCTCACCCACTATCCAATGGAACAAACAGCTCGTCTTTTTGCTCCCGCCTCCTTTTCAGCGGTAGCCTCTCTTCAGTCTTCTCTCTTCCTGGCCTGTCTCATTGGAACAACCAAGACGATAGGGTCCTCCAAGATTCCTAGAGGGAATTCTAAAACGGTTATGGATTAGCTGGGTAGTGTGATGACGTGTTTCCGGGCAGCCATTTTGTTTTCACTCCCGAGGTCTTCGTTTCTGAGCGCAGTCGCTTGGTGTCTCGACCGTTTTTTGCCTAAAGTTCTAGAGGCTGCCGGAGCTCCAGTGAGTGGGTCTGAGGCCCGAATAGGGCCCGGAGGGAGGGTGCCTTAAACCTGCATCGGTCTCGGTAGGGTGGGGTCAAAAGGGTGATGTTTGGGAACCGCAGGCTCGCTGAGGGGTGGTTGGCATCAACGTCCTCCGAAAGCCTTGCCTATCAGGACCGGTGGTCATTTGCACCTTTGTCCCGCTCGGCTGCTCTCTCCCCTCAGTGTCCCAGGAGGTTGGGCTGCGGTAACTGCCCACCCGACATGGTGGAAATTCTAGGTGGGAAGTAGAACAGCTCAAATGTCTAGAGCATTGAGATGCGTGTGTGCTTCCTTCCAAGATGGCCCCCGCTTAGTTGTTCAGATATCGGAGAATAGCTGCGAACCCTGCCGTCTGGATTAACTCATAGAATTTTTAAAGTTTTATTAGTCCACGTTTGCAGTACACAATGAACACATTATGTGGGGAGTTAGCACGTGTTTATAAGACACATTTGTTCGCCCCTCTCCACCTCATGTATTAAGTCTAAAGCTTTTTAGTGAGTCAAGCCCATCAATCAAGCTGTGTGTGCACGCGCGCGCGCGGTCTTTAACGTAGTTTCTTCTGTGCGCTGTTGGAGACGTGAGAGTATGCCTTGATCCAGCTCTCCTCACGTCTTCCATCAGGCCCTTCTTAAATTCACTTGACTGCACTCCTTTGTCATTAGCTGATCATCGAAGTTTGTAATCATTTGGTTTAAACATGTGGTTCCTGTCAGTGCTGAAGGATATTGGATTGCGATTTGCTTCCCATTTTGGCTTTTATATATGGAACAGCTTCTATACCGTTTTCCCCATAGAAAAATAAAAGGAAGGAGTGTTTTGTGGGTAGTTTCTGTTGCTGTTTTCCTTCCAGATTTGATTTTCAGATTACCCGCTGTACAGATGAGACCTTTTTCTTAAGTCCTCTTAATATGTCAGTTCTGTGAGGTATCCACTGAAAGAGAAATTTATTGGACATTATGATAATTTTAGAAAACTACGGGATACAGTTGTAATAAGTACCCCTTTAGTATAGATCACTGAATTTGGACAGAAATCCTGCACGAATTTAGCAGGAATATTTGTGTAGATTTATATTGTATTTTCTTTGAAAGTCCTCCTGTTTTTCCTTATAAGCATTATTTCTCTTTGCTGGACTCCCTTTAGCTTCCAAGGCACAATTTCTACTTTAATCCTGACAGCCCTGTTTCCTAGCTTAGCTTGCCTTATTTTACTGAGTGACTTTCTTGATTCACTATGAAGGGCCGTTGCGGGGAGGAACAGTGCACTTATTGAAGTCTGTTGTCTGATGCTCTTATAGTACCCTGAGTCTTACAGCAAGCTACACATATAGGGGTTAAAATGAAAGTTGTTTTTAAGGTCTATGAATAGAAGTACTTTTATATGATTGTTAAATATCCAGTTTACCTGACGGCAGCTGTTGTTATTTCAGGTGTTGTCATTAAGGCATAAATCTTGCTGATTTATTCTTTGTAATGGCAGAAGTCCTAATTCCTAGTGAAGAATCAATCAATGTACCAACAGTGGGAAGTACAGCTATTTTAGAAATGAAGCTGCATAGTTCCTACACTGTATTGTTTGGAACTTGGACGTATTTGGGACATCTCATGAAGTTGATGGATTCCTTTAATATGATAGTGTTTTCCCTCTCATCCAACCCCAACCCTGTTGTAAAACTGAAGAAATGTTTTATAATCAGCTTGTGCATTTGGGGGAAAATTTCATTATGATGACATTAAAGTATTCCTAGTAAACTATTTTCAAATTCTGTTTGACTTCTGTTACTAAAGTAACAGAAATATCCCTTCCTGGTATTAAATAGCACAGGAGGAAAAACAGATGCTGAGGTCTTACAGTGTTTGATGGATTTCTTGTGCACAGCTCTTTCCTATCTGTACTGTTTGGATCTTAGGAGCTTTAACTGTTTGGAATTCCAGCTTGCTTTTCATCCCCTGATATTCTGCCCACTGTCTTCCCTGATTACCTCTTCTGTCTTTTCTATGATTTATTCTCTGGATTGTTGATGTTATAGTTTTGTCAGTCTACCTTCTCATTAGTCATTCCTTAAATGATCTCTGCTTTCTTTCTGCATTCCCCTATGTGCCTGCCATGTCCCTTCTCGAGTCTAGAACTCATAACAAACAAGTGATGAAAAAACAATAGTTCACGTAGCCTTCAAAACAGGATAATCAGAGGTATTTAGAAGTTATGGTCAGTAAAGTTACTGTCACTAATGTTTTTCTCTTTGCCTTCAGCTCCTGAGACTTTTGCCTTTCCCCAAGGAATAAAAGAAGTTACATGATGACATCTGTGTCAACATCCAGCTCCCAGGTGAGCTGGGTTTCCTTTGTACATAGATGTGTATATACATGTATGTTTATGTACACTCATAAATATCTTTATGTACTTTGTGAATATGTCTTACATAGGTATACAAAACATTTCATGTGCAAATTTCTTCCTGAGGATTAACTTACATACGAGTCTTAAATGTATAGCTCACTTTTAGAAATGTCCACACCTGTATTACTGTCACCCATGTCAAGATCTAAAACATTATTGCATCCCAACAAGCCTCCTTTTATGTCCTCTTCTAAGCATCCTGCTGTCCCAAAGTTAACCACTATTCTAATCTCTATCACTGTAGATTTTGTTTGTTCTGGAACTTTGTATAAATGGAACCCTTCAATATGTTCTCTTGTATGTGCCTTTTTTCATGTAACATTATGTCTGTGAACTTGGCACCCGTGGTGTTGCATATACCAGTATTCTTTTTTATTGCTAACTAGTTTTCCATTATCTGCTATATCACATCTTATCTCTCCGTTCTACTATAGATGGGCTTTTGTTTCTAGTTTTTTACTCCTACAAAATAAGAATACATTGGACATTTTTGTGGACATGATTATATCTCCAGGAATGAAACTGCTAGAGTGTAGGTTATACATTTAGCTAGTTTTAGTAGCTGTTGCCCCCAAATTTTCCAAAATAGTTGTTCTAGTTTATATTTTTACCAGTGGCATAGTGTTACTTCACGTGGTTACTAATTCTTATGTCATTTGTTCATAGTATTTCATTGAGGTTTTCAAAATTTCTTCTCCAAAGAAGCAGCAACATTTTGTAGAACTATTGCCTATATGAATATTCTTTCATGTAAAGTCCCTATTCAGATATTTTTCCTATTTTTTATTACATTGTATATCTCTTTCCCCAAGTTATAGTAATTTCGTATTTATTAAGGATATGAATCTTTTGCCAGATAAATATCTAATGAACTATCTTCTACCAGTCTATGGCTTGCTGTTTTTCTTCTCTTGGTGTGTTCTTTGATAAACAGATTTTCTTCTTTCTTTTTAGGTACTGGGGAATGAACTACAGCACTTTTTTTTGAGACTGGGTCTTTCTAACTTGCCTATGCTGGGCTTGAATTTGGAGATCCTCCCAGAGTTGGGCTTCTGGGTGTGTACCACGATACTGTGCTTGATTTTATTTTTAATGAAGCCCAGTGTGTCAGTTTGTTTTGTGTAAGAAATCTTTGCTTAGTCAAAGTTCATAAAGCTGTGTTTCTTTCTTTTTTTTTTTTTCCCCACAGCATTTATAGCTTTAGCTTTCTACTTATGCTGTAATTCTTCTGTAATTAATTGTATGACTGGGTTGGAATTCTTTTTTTCTCCTACACATTTAATCCACTTGGTACAGGAGAATTTATCAAAAAGTATTTTTACCCATTGAATTGCACTTGTTACTTTGTCATAAACTTGGGTACTATATATCTATGTCTCTCTATATCTGTATCTATATCTATATTTGTGTGTCTGTTTTTAAATTCCCTATTCAAGTCATTGGTCTCATCTGTTATTGAACTAGGATTCCATGACACTGTTGGTGGAGCAGTAAAGTAATTTTGCAATGTAATATAGAGAGCTTGTCCCCAAGGTAATTTTAATATCTCAAAGACCACCAGCAAATCTGTCTTTGGCACTGCCTTATAGATTCTCACCTCTTCACGAAGACCGTTTCCTCTAGAAAGAGTGTTCTGAAATACACTGCTGAACTCATGCTTCAGGGGTTGAAAACGTTTAATAGCTACCTTATTAGGTGCATTGCCAGCCTAATAATTGCCTTAGACCAAGCTGTCCTAGGGACCTTTCTGGAGTAAGTAGTATTTTTTTACACCCTTTGAACCTTACTCCTCTGCATGCTGGTGGGGCAAGGTGGGAATTCACTGACAGGTCAGACATCTGGGTGCCTGCATAGGGCAAACAGGTAAGAATGAAGGACTGGCATGAATGCAGAACGGGTAAATGGCAGGAGTATGAGTCACCCCGATGATCGTTGGAATATATAGCGTGAATGAGGCTCAGCAGTGAGGGTGCTGGCCGTTTCCTTCCACATAATTACCTTCATGCTTAGATCCAAGCCCAGCTGCCACATAGCAGGTTCAGCTCTCTTTGTGTGGAGATGTACTTGGTTCTCACTGGGAAAGTGTGCTGAGCTCCAGCTTGCTGCCTTACGTTCTGCATCCTTTTCTGCCACACCCTCCACATTTCACATAAAACTGGGGTTACTGTAGGAGTCCTTCCCTGGCCTCTCAGTGATAGTTTTGACCACCAACATATCCTGACGTCTAAGACTGTAGAACTTGTTGTTTCAGGACTCAGACACTTTCGAGGCTGTGGCAGTGCATGTCACCAAGAAGGAATGGGCCAGCTTGAAGCCTACCAGGAAGGCCCTGTACACGGAAGTGATGATGGAGAACTACAGGACCGTGGCTTCCTTAGGTAAGGCCTTTCTGCTACCCATCTCTTCCTGGACCCTCAGAGATGAAAGGCCGTCCTTTTTTTCACTAGATAACCTCAAATGGCAGTTTCAGAGGTTGGCAGGTATGGAAAGCTCTGGGGTCTCTTGACCTCCAAAGTGTATTCCTTTTTTTATCATAAAAGTTACTGTCCTTTAATTGCCTTAGAAGTGATTCTCTGGGTCCAGCAGGACTTAAGATATATCTTGGTACCCTTAGCCTAGTATTGAACTTCCAGATTGTCTCGAGAGAACCAGTCCCTTTGTCTCCTTTTGAGAGTTGCTCTTAGGAGCCATCTGTTTTCCACAATGGGAGTTTTATTCTCTAACAAAGTAAGAAGTCTTGTTTCCAGGTAAGTAGGAATCTGCCTCCCATGCTGTTTCAGGTTCTTGGGGAGCACCGTCTGAGGCTTTTTCTCAGAATCCCTTCCTGAGACTGTAGGGAACCTTCTACACAGCCCACCCAGGAATTACTGTCCCTGCCTCTCCTGCTTGTCCCTGCAGTCTCGGATGAAAATGACCCTGTGACTTTATTCATCGTTGTGTTACATTTTCTTTAAGTAGCAGCATCTGTTGAGAGACAAGCTCTGAACATGGAGCTGGAGCAAGAGAGGGAAGCCCTAATCAGGGGCGGCTGGGACGCAGGCCTGGCAGGTGAGTTAAGCAGAATTGTCTTCTCCGGCTTGTCCTTTGCTTGCCTTTGCTGCATTGAAATAAAAGATTTATGTACTCTATGCCTAGCACTGTGGAGAGTACATGGAGTACGTGGGGACCCTTGGTTGCACCGTTACTGACTGGTCTGTTCCTCCCTATAAGCTGCAGGGGACAACACTGCTTCAGTGTCTTACACACTGGGATGCTTTTATCCTGGGGGATATGAGAAAAACTGCTGTCCAGTTTTCCCTGCTTTTACAAAATTATGAAATATGGTGCAGTATTATCTTGTCCAGCAATCTATATAACCAGTGGAATAACTTGTTTTTGCTTTTCGTAATAATGTATAACATTAGTCCTTTTATATTGAAATGTTGTAAGATATCTTACAGATACAATTTTTTTTTCCTTTAGATTACATCTTAAAACTAAGAAGATACACTTACCTATTTTACAGATACTTTGTCCGCTAAGATATAAAGATTTTTGGAAATCCTCAGTGCTGAGAAGACAGGACAAAAGCTTAATTCTTGACTTTCACCACTTGTCAACTGAATGTTCATTAAACTTACTCATTTTGACGTACAGAGCAGGCTCCTGTGTCCATTTTTACGCAGCTTGATGGAGATAAAATTTACAAACCATATATTCCACTCATTTAACAATGCAGTGACATTTAGTATATATTCAAGAGTTGTGCAGAAATCACCACAGTCTGCTTTTAAATCTTTTTTGTCACCTCTTACTTAAAAAAAAAAAAAATGCTGTATCCAGTAGCAGTCACTCTACTTTCCCCTGCTGACCTCTCAGTTTCACGTGACAACTTAACCTAGTTGTGTATCTGTAGATTTGCCTGTTGTAGGTATTTGTTAACTTAGTCATATAATATGTGATCTTTGCAACTGGCTTTCGTTTGCCATGTTTTGATTCATTTTGTGACTTGCCTCCTTACATTCCTTTTTACATGTGTATAGTATCTGTTGGATGGATTGTATCACATTTTGTGTTTCCATTCATAGTTGGTGAGTATTTGGGTTTTTTCCACTGTTTTGGCATTATGGATTATGCTGCTGTGATCATTAGTGTATGAAGCTTAGTGGAGACTCAGTCTTCGTGGGTATGTCTGCTAGGTATACATTTGCTGGGTAATTTAGTAACTCTTGGCTTAATTATTTAAGGAATGCCATAATTTTTCCCAAAGTGGCTACATCATTTTATTTTCCCCTGGCAGTGTGTGAGGTTTGCAAATTCTCCACAGCCTCACTACTTGCTATTGTCCATCTTTTTTATTATAGCCATGCTGGTGATACGAAGTGACATCTCATGGTTTTCATTTTCCTAGTGGCTAATGATTTTGTGCATCTTTTCATGTGCTATTGACTACTGGTATATAATCTTTGCAGAAATGTCTGTTCAAATCACTTGCCTTTTTTTTTTTTTTGTACCAGGACTTGAACCTTGTGCTTGCAAGGCAGGGAAACCACTGAGCTAAATCCCTGGCCCCCTTGCCCATTCTTAATTGGTTCATCTTTGTATTTTTGTGTTGTAAGTGTTCTAGGTTGGATCCTTGTAAATAATTCATTCCTCTCTAGGAATTGTGGTCCTAGTTTATTAATAGTGTTCTTTCAAGCACAAATTTGATGTAGCTCTTTAGGATTTTCTATATGCAAAATTATATCATCTACAAATACAGTTTTATTTCTTCCTTTCCAATCTGAATGTCTTTCACTTTTTTCTCTTACCTATTTACCCTTCTCAAAACTTAAGCATGATGCTGAACAAAAGTTGCAAAAGTGAGCATCCTTATCTGTCAGTCTTTTTTTTTTTCCCCCTTATCTGTCAGTCTTTCAAGTTTGGTGTCAAGTTCCCAGTTTAGTGAAGAGATAGGTAGGTGTATATTATATCTTCATCATATTTTAATTAGTATGTCTTGCTTTATGTTTTTCTATGACTATATTAAACTTGTTTGATAAAATATGGCGTTAGCTGTGTTTTTATTGTTCTTTATCAAATTACAGAATTTCCTTGTATTTTTTGAGTTTCGTGAAATGGTATTGTAATTTATGAAATGATAATTCTGTGGCTGTTAAGGTGACAATGTTCTTGTCCTTTATTCTATTAATATAGCATATTTTATGTGTTGATTTTTATGTAGTAAACTCTCCATCTGCATTCCTTAGGCAAATCGCAATTGGTGATGGTATATAATCCTTTTTTTTTTCTATATTGCTAGATTTAGTTTGCCAAATTTTTAGAGTTTTAATATTTATTTTTATAAGAATTTGTAATTTTCTTGTGTTTATTTGGTTTTGGTGTCAGAGCAACAAAATTGGTCTCATAGAATAAGTTGGGACATATTCCTCTTGTGGTTTTGAAAGAGTTTGTGAAATATTAGTTCTAAATTCTTTGGTGTTTGTAGACTTCACAGATGAAGCCATTTTCACATGAGTTTGTGGAAAGGTTGTTTTTGCCTTTTGAGTAGTTCAGACTGGCCTTGAACTCATGGCAGTCCTCCCGCTTCAGCTATGTTGGCTTACGAGAGAGTTTTTAAATTATCCAATTCAGTCTCTTTCTTGTTATAGGTATATCCCCAGTTTTAGTCAGGTAGTTCTTATCTGTAAAGAAATTTGTCATTTCAGGGCTAGGAATTTGGCTCAGTGGTTCCACAAACACAAGGTCCCAAGTTCAATCCCTGGTACCAAAAAGAAAAGAAATTTGTCATTTCAGCCGAGTTTTAACTCTGTTTTCTTCATACCATGTTCCTGTAGTTTTTATTCTACAGTAATATTTTCTTGTTCATTTCTGATTTCAGTAATTGGGATGTTTCTTTGGTCAGTTCAGTTAAGACTTTCTAAATATTGTTGATTATTTTTGTGAAATTTTGGTTTCACTTATTTTCTCTAGTGTTTTTCTAGTTTTTGTTTCATTTCTTTCCTATTTTTCTTTTCTTCTCGTGATTTGGTTAAGTTTGCTTTTCATTAAGTTTGCTCTTAAAAGATCTCTGTTGAGGTGAAAAGTTAAGTTGATTTGGGAGGTTTTTGTTTTTGTTTTCCTGGTACCGGGGATTGAACTTGGGACCTTGCACTTGTGAGGCAGGCAGCGGAACCACTGAGCTAAATCCCCAGGGGGATTTTTTAATTAGGAAATTATAGTACATATATTGCCACAGCAAGCATTTAATTAGGAAATGATATGAGTTAATAGAAATATATTTTTTCCTCTGAATATTACTGTTTGAGAAGAATATGTATTCTTGTGGGGTGGAGTGTTTTGTTGATGTCTCTTAGGTTTATAGTGATGTTCAAGGGCACTGTCGCCATGTTCATCTGCCAGTTCTATTTACTACCAAAAGTGGGATGTTGAAGTCTCCATCTGTTAACTATTTTCTTCTTTGGTTCTGATTTTTTCCTTCAGGTATTTCAGGGTTCTGTTTTTAGGTACATACATGTTTACAGTTGCTACCTTTTGCTGATGGATGCTTTTATCATTATAAGGCATCTTTTTTTTTTTTTACCTCCAGTTACATGTTTTGTTTGATGATTTTTATCAAATATTATTTTGAGCACTCCAGACACAGTGTGTCTTTTATAGACACATAGATTCCTACCATAAGCTGAAGATGCCATAATTCAAAAATGCTTTTAATATATCTAACCTTCCTAACACCGTAGCTGTAGCCTAGCATCACCAGTGCACAGCACCCATTATTCAGCCTGTGCTCAAATGGCTGACAGAGCCATGTGGTTGCTGCCACCACCCAGCACCGTGTTACTGCATACTGCAGTGGCTCACAGAAAGAGTGGAATTCAGACCTCCAAACACAGCTTCTGCTGACTATGGGTCATTCACAACACTGCAAAGACAAGGAGTTGTAAGGTGAAATGTAAGTGAGGGACTGTCTGTAGTTGGAGCTTGTCTTTGTGTCCTATCTCTGCCCTTCCACTGACTCATTTAACTCATCCCTACGTTACAGATATGGTTGGATTTATGCCTGTTATTTTGTACTGTCCTCTGTCAGTCATTTCTTGCTTTTCTGTACCTATTTGACTTCATTTGTATCATATGACCTCTTGTATAGTACTTTTATTTCTTTCATGATGTTTGCACTATTTTTGAGATACTTGGTAGATTACTTTAAGGCAGTGGTGGCAAACCTATGGCATGTATTCTGTCGTGGGCTGTTTGTTATTGAAAGCTCTAAAAGGTTTGCCATCATTGCTCAAAGCATACAGTATACAAATTAGTCTATGAGACTCTGCCTCAGATTTATATTAACTTCCGGTAAGGTAGGAACTTTATTCATATTTTACTCCATTCCCTCCCTGCTATTTTGGTGATTATTATACACATGTTTTCCAAAGATAATAAACTCATAGAATTACTGGGTTTTTTTGACAAGAGATACCACATTCCCCTACATAAAACTATACTACAAAGCCACTGTGATAAAAACAGTGTAGTATTGGCAAAGAAACAGACCCAAAGGTCAGTGGAATAGATTAGATAGAAGGTGCAGAAACAACTCCAGACATAATCAGCCACTTTCTCTTTGACAAAAAAGCCAGTCACCCTCACTGGAGGAAAGATAGATAGCTTCTTTAGTGAATGGTGTTGGAAAAACTGGATGAAATTTCAATCTGCTAAAGATTAAAACTAGACCCATATCTTTCGCCAGATTAAACTAAAATTGCACCAAACTAAAATTGAAGTGGATCAGAGATCTAAATATTAAAACAAACATTAAACTTGCTGAAAAGTAGGTTAGGTAGAACTCTTGAAGACATTGGAATAGGAAAAGACTTTATGAACAAAACCTCAGTAGCCTGGGAACTAGCACAGAATCAACAACTGGGGTCTCATCTTATTAAAAATCCTCTGCACTGTTAAGAGGAAACCACCATTGGAGCTAAGAGACAACCTACAATGTGGGAAAAAATTTTTACCAGGTGTTCCACAGGCAAAGGACTACTTATGTAGAACATATAAACAATAAAATCAGGACCCCCCCCAATACAAAGACCCAATTCAAAAATGGGCATCTGAAATGAACACACATTTCACAGACAAAAAAGTAAAAGTGGCAAATAAACATGAAAACATCTTCAGCATCACTGGTCATTCAAGAGATGCAGATGAAAGCAACACTGAGATACCACCTCACTCCAGAAAGAATGGCTGCTATCAAGAAATCAACAACAAATGTTGGCAGGTTTGTGGGGAGAAAGGAACCCTTCTCCATTGTTGGTGGGAGTACAGACTGGTGCAACCACTGGAAATCAGTATGGAGAAACCTCAAAACACTAGGATTAAAAGGTCCCATTTGACCCAGCTATCCCCATGCTGGGTATCTTCCCAAAAGAAAAGTCATGCCCACAGCAATATATGTGCACCCATGTTTATAGCAGCACAGTTTGTAATAGTTAAAACATGGAAACAGCCCAATTGTCAACCGGAGACTGGAAAAAAAAAGATGAGTTTTTTTTTTTTTTTAATAAAGTGGAGTATTAGCCATTAAGAAAAATGAGATATTTATAGATAAATGAATGCACATTGAGGCCATGCTCTTAACTGAAATAAATAGGACACA